CTCACCCGGAGAGATGGTATCTGCCTCCACAAAGTTATGGTCCTAATTACAAAATGACTTTCAAGTTGCCGGATGGCCTCACTTGCTCGCTCTGTACTATGCAGTGGAACTGGATAACTGGCAACTCTTGTTTGGTGGATGGGTATAAGGAGTACTTCGTCAAGTTCAAAGAGGAGTACCCTAACATGGACAGCTCGTGGGATCAGTCTAACTCGCCCAAGGACAGTTGTGAACTCGCCAGGGATGGCGAGCAGTTCTGGAACTGTGCCGATATTAAGATCCAATAGTCTTTTGGAGGCATGCATTTTGCTAGGACACATCTTCAAAATGCGATGGGCCCATCGCTTATACCCTCCACAAGGACTACGCATCTATTCCTCCCCCGGTCTATTCAACATCATCCTCATCTCCTTGCCACGACCACGTTATTTGTTCGTGCCATCGATTCCGATGGCGGCTTGTCCCGTCGTGGAATTTGGAACCCCATGTTCAGCATTATTTTCCCTTGTTACCTCGATTCGACGAGAGAGCTATTATTTCACCGGTGTCCGATTGCATCGTGAGAGCGTCACTAGTATCCCAACTATTATCTTGATGCTACACCATCAATCGATTGATACTGAACTTTTTCCATTTGCTGCCCGGATGGCTTATCGAGTCTAGTATACTTTCCGCTGTGAATTGTTGGGTAGGAGTGCTCCCAGGTCATGCTTTGAGGTCGGAAATGATGCCCCGGGTTTGAAATTGAAGATTCTCCCCTCAGGGGACTCCCGGAGTCCCCTGACGTGGATAGTCCCTGTTCAGTAGCTCTGATGATCTACAAGAATTTCCCCCTGATTCCTGTCAATGTTGCACGGATTTCTGTGGAGCTGTGTTGTGATTCGCTGCGGATTGAGAACTACATACTCCAATGTTCACATCCACCTGAGAGCTTTCCCCATATACACAGTGAGAAGGCATGTGACACGCTTGATTGGCGATTTTCTCTACTTCAATCCGCTGTAATTGGGGACGAGGCGACAAGTTAACCTGCTCACCGCAGTTAAGACTCAAAAGTATCCAACTTGCCTCCACTATCACTACCGAAAACTGCAGTCGTAAACAACATGCCAGCAATTATAATTGCAGCACTAGTCTTACGCGTCATATATATCGGTTGTCAAATACAATAGGATTTATTGGCAACAGGACTTGTGCAAGAGCGTCCAGCACTTTCATTACTTCTGACCTCATTACCGGTATTAGGCTATGGCGATACTATTAAGCGTAAAGCATTGATGTTTGCTGTACACTCGACTAGGTCTACGTCCTGAATCGGATGGGTAACTTCTCCTCCGGTTGACGGGCCCTGGTTGTAGCCTACAGCATCTC